AACATTTGTTGACTCAGGACGCAAAACTACAAGCTATTCTATAGCAATAGCGGCGGAAAGGTAAGATCATGCATACCCATTAAAAGAAATTTAAATGCTTTTCAATTACCTCTTTAGAGCAATGAGTACTTCACAGCAGTCAGCCTAAAAATCGGGAGTGGGAAGTTATGTTGGACTTCAGCATACCTGCCCTATGACTCGCTAGTGGAGCTTCCGTCGCCAGACATAAGAAAAGTGGTAAAGAGGGTCCGATCTCTTAGAAACAGCCTCGTCATTGGAAGCAACGCGAACCCGTATCCTTACAGTCCGGGCTAGCTCAGATACAAATACAAGAGGTGAGTCACTTTTGGAATATTTCTTGAGTACTAACCTTATTTTATGCAACAGCGGCTCAGAGCCCATTTATATTACTAAAAATCGGCAAGAAGTTATATACATAATCCTTGCCTCTCAATCTGTCATTGGGATGGTAACGAACTGGAAGGCTTTACCAAGGAAGGCTTACTCCTTTTCTGAAAATCGTTATATATTTTTAAAATTCATTGGCAAGCAGAATAATCCACGGACCTTCAAAAACCGTAAAATGACTGGCTGGCCCAAATTCAGAGAATCGCTAAGCGATCTCTTGGGATTTGTGTCTCCCGCGTACTTCAGTTCGACCGAAAAGTTGGACGAACTGGTTGGTGCGCTTACGGGGGCCTTTAATGGTGTTTCCAGGGCATTTCAATATTCTTGATTACCACACAATAATAAGAAGTAAAGGTCAAAACCAATAAAATTTCAAATTGTATGCAGCAATAACCTTGAAAGCTGACTGTCTCATGAAATAAATAATTAAATTTTATTATGCTTTCACTGAGAAATTGCAAAATTTTCTATAACAAATTTATTAAATTGCACTTACAAACAATTAAAATATTTCACTTCAAATTGAAAAATTACCCTATACAATTTAAAATTGTGCTTTAGAATTTCATTTGCTAATATTTTTATATTATTTTCCTAACCAAGAAACATTAATTATCATTCCATGTTCTTTGAGAGTGAAAAAGTCATTTTTAAAGTAGAAAAACACAAAAGCTGTAAATTTATTTAAATTCTTTCTTTTTTTTCTCATTTCTCTAATTTCCCAATTTCATTCCTTCACTTCATTTAAGTGTAAACATTTTATATTTTGCGCTTTGTGTGCATTTTTACAACATTTTTCACGAAAAAATAAAAAAGTAAAAATGGCTGACTGTATAAAAGAACAAGTATCGCCTAGGGATGCATTTGTACAATTTTAAAATTTTACAGACATACTTTTTTCGAAAATAAATTTTCTTATAGAATTTCAGTGTAATAGAGTACGATGACTTAATGTTGTTTCGGGGAATATAAAATAAAAAAGAAGCGAAAATCTAGAAGAATAAAAAAGATTGAATTGTTTTGAAATTTAAAGTGTGGTTTTTCAATATACTTGCACTTGGATTTTTGCGATCTGTTTATGTTTGTGATGGAGGAATTGTTTTTGAAATGCGGTAAAGAAAATAATTGAAAGAGAGGTTAAATTAATTATTAAAACAAATCTTAAAGTGTAAGTGGTTATATAATAGGTAAAAATATTGGTTGGCTTTATTTTTTAAAGAAAATGAAAAGTTTTGTTTTAATATTGAAAAAAATTGCATACTTTTAGGGTAAACTATTGTGAATTTTTAAAGATAATATTTAAGAATTCATTGAATATTCTCGTCAGAGGTGCACTTTAGGATTTTTATTAAATTCTATACTATAGGCAATTTATAATTTTAATAGGAATCAAATCAGGGTTTTATAATCCAAGAGTTTGAAATTTAATTCGGTTTAAATCCAAATAAAATTATTTAATTGAAAAAAATTCAAGTTCTTTTTCGATAATTCAATCAATTCGAGTACCAAAGACACGTATTCCATTTTTAACTTCGCAAATCATTGTACTTAATTAAATTTTTTGAATTTAATAGAAATTCATTCAGATTTTTTTTTAATTCAATTTATTTTTAAGGGTGTTTCAATCAAATATATTTTTGTAAAGTACCCACGTTTTATTACACCGGAATTTTTATTATACCTGAAAAGAAATTGCAAATTATTTAAAACGAAATATTTTTTTCAAAAATATAAAAAACAATTGGAACTGGAACTTACGTGGAATGAAAACAATATTCAATGTCTGAGCTATAAGACTTTTCTTGCTTTACAAGTAAGAGCGGGATGATTACAATATTAGAACAATTTGACGTCCATCTTATGGTGTCTTAAAATTGAATAACCGGAATGTGACCGGTACGATCCAAACCACCTTAACGACTATGAAATAATAGAGTAGAGAGAAATAAAAATTTGATTCTACACGTTAATGTTTAATTAACAAATCTTAGATCTGATCCTCTGCTATGCACGTTAATAACCTAATGTGATGGGTTTTTTGGTTTTGTTTGACGAGAAACCTATAATTTTGTTCCTGCATTTATGAAAACTTTATTAAGCTTTAAAAATTTAAAAAATGTTTTAAAATATTCTTAATTTAGCATCTGAATTGTGGTTGGGTGAATTTGTTTTTTTTTTTGTGGCTGTTAAAAAAAACTTATCGGAATAGCACTTGTTTCTATATTAAAAACACTTCACTTCTATAAACCTAAAACAATATTATTTTCGCAATTTTTTTTTTTAAATTGATTTGATGAAAGATAAAAATTTTCATAGGATTTATTTTTTCCATTTTATTCATAGATTCATACTGTTTAAAAAGGATGTAAAGGATATTTGTTGTGATATTTAAAAAACAAAAAAAAAAACACACACAAAAACAATTTGAATTAGAATGGGATCAATTACTTTCTGTTTGATTTTTGCTTTCCCTTCATCAATTCATTCAGATAAGTGCTCAATCCATTATCAAAAAGTACGCACCTTTTTTTTTCTCGCATACCTTAATATACTACCACGCAATACCAATACCTACATTACAAATTATAAGGATAATTTACATAAAAATAAAATGACCGTAAATTTAAATTTTTTCCCTATTGAAATTTTTATCGGATTTTGTTTTTATGTTCTCCCTTTTCGAATATCAAAATGGTGGTTTGTAAATGCTCTGTGATAAGGATAATTTATTAAATTAAGTATAATTCTTGTTAATATCAGATTGATTTGATAAAAAATTTGTTTTTTGGAATAATTTAAAACAAATTTTCTAAAAATTTTTGTGCGTTCTCTTTTATTTACCACACAATTAAATTGGCATAACAATTTTAGAGCTCGATTTGAAAATGCATTGTTATAAATTGTGATTATAAAATTTGCATAATTACATATTTCAAATTTGAAAATAGTTAAAATATATTAGAGTTGACATTTTATCGGAATAAAATAAAAGAGGTTTTGAATACTAAAAGCAATAAATAAATATGCGGTTGAAAAACAAAATTAGATAGAAAGAAACAATTAATTATTGAGAATTTTAGTTGACACAAAATACCTGCAAATAAATAAATTCCATGATTATATAAAAATTTAATTAAATTGTACTTTATAAGGATAATTAGATTGGTCAGATTTAAAATAACTGCATGAATAAATTGCTTATATAAAGAATTTTTGTTATCTTTAATGAAAAAGATATCATGGCAAAATCTTGTAGCTTGCTGCAAGTTATCTACCGTCTACGTGAATGAAGTGGGCCGTCGCACATCTGAGAAAGCATACTCTTCGGAAAGCCTTTTCCCGTCTGGAGGTTCGTTTTGTAATCCATCGGCGATCACCTGAGATTCCTTTTCTATTGACCGGTTTTTCCGTATCTTTACCTTACCTCATTCAGAGCCGGTGTATAGAGATTTTCTAGAGTCCGTACCGCCGAATGTGATCGCCTCGATTCTGAACCTCCCTAGAAGAATCATTAATTTGTATTCTGAAAATCTGGCCATTCTGATTTTCCCGTTATTACGTCAACCTCCATATCCGAATGTATATTCCACTGTTTTCAATACGGACAATTGCCTGTGTTTCGTCCCATTCTTGGCTCTCTTTTTTTCTTGGGGACAAGCGTAGTGACTGTGCATAACTTGTGAATGTTGTCTCTCGTCATCAGTGTTGACCCCTTATATATATCCAGGATTAGAGTTTAGTTGATCGTCCACTACCCTGTCTCTTTATAAGCATGAGACAGAGTAGTGCGCAATACATGAGCGAATTTGTGAAATATGATCCCAGCTCTTGACTACACGTTGAAATAATTATTTCATTTTCAATAATAATAATGAAGCAAAAGTAATCTTCTTATGCTAGATTACATAATTAATCGAATTTGGTATCTGCTAAACATGAAAAATTTTTGTTTAATGTGGTTTTTTTTGTACGATACGTATAAATAATTATTTTATGTCTCAGGTTATAACCATTTTTTTTCCGCTAAAAAGATTAGATTTAAACAAAATATGATGAGCAAACAAACCACCTCAACAAGATTATGTACTCTCTTAAATTATGTAAAAAAGGATATTGTATAGTCCCCGTTCGTATAAATACAATTTCTTGAGTTTGTCTTTTATCTCTTTTAATAAATTATTAAAAGAAAGTTGTTTATCGTACTGTTATACCGTGATATTTAGGTTATGTGTGCATCTTATGGTGGTTAACTATATATTTTTTATGTACATATATAGGTAGAAACTAATTTTTGTGGTATCAATTGAGGTTAAAACCTTTAAAGGAACATTAAGTTTATAACTAGTAAAGTAACATATTCAAATACTTATAAATACGTTAATAAGTAAGTAGTCATAACAGAAAATAAACTCGTTAATTTTATATTGATAAAAGTTTGAGAATTTTTAAAATAACTTTGGAGAGTTTTATGAAGAATTCTTGAGTGATTTGTTTGAATCAGCAGCTTTTAATTAAATTAACTTCACAACACTCATTTCGTCGACCGTCAGATCTGATACCATTATAGAAAAAAAAATTATATATGGGCAGTATTATACTCCTTTACTTGCGAGAAATTTTCTATCACTGACTGTGTGACATACTGTCACAACATTTACTATCAAAACATTTACTGTCACGACATTTACTATCGAGACATTTACTGTTAAGACATTTATTGTCAAGGCAGTTACTGCCGAGACATTTACTGTTGAAACATTTACTGATAAGACATTTAATGTCAAAACATTCACTGACAACACATTTACTGTTAAAAATTTAAAAAACCAAACATAACTGTTATCTTCCAATAATTCCTCATTTTATATGATATTAACTTGTATTTTACTTATATAATCACATTTTTACTTCTTCTTCCATCAATGTACATAATTGAAAAGTGAAACGTCTTACTGATAATGAATTAATGACTTCTTTGCTCCATACTTTACAGAACATTTTTTTTAAGTAAATGATATCCAGATCTTTTTAAAGGATTAAGAATTATTATTATCCAAAAATATTTATGTAATTATAAGAAAATTTATGAAGCAGCTTCATTATTATATTATATTCGTTATACTTACTCAAAATATGTGTATAGTGTGGAATCACATACATACATATATTTGCATATTATGTAAATTCAAAGTATATTTAAGAAACTTCGACAAGTAATCAAGAATTTATTTTATGAAATTCTTGATGTGAAAAAATGAATTCATTAAAAATTTTCTTTTGCTCGTTGTTGTTATAGTTCCAAATATTTTAAAGATTTTTCAACAAGGAGTGAATAAGTAGGGTTGAATAATAAGGGCAAGTATATTCACATTTATATGCTCTATGTATATCAACTGTATATCATGCTTTCTTTTTGCTAAAAAAAAAATTGTTAAAAAGTTCTTCTTAATTTGCAATTTTGCAAAATTTTCATTAAATTAATTAATAATTATTTGTTAAATAACGCGAAAAGAAAATGCTAATAATTATACTTCACTTATACTTATGGGGGTGGTATATGCATTTACTTATAGTTTGCTATTGTCTATATACTTTTGAAAAATTCATGTAATTTCCCCCACTCTCTATAAAATTTTTATTTATAGTACTCGTACTAAAACTTGACCTTATTTACATAATATAGTTTGCTTTTGTATAAATATATTTAATTTTTTTTTATACTAAATTCAATTGAATAAACGAGCATAATTAGTTTTTGAAAATAGAATAATTTCGACATTATTATGTAGTACAGGAAAATGCTTGGTAGAAGTAGAAAATATTTTACTGTTCTTGTAATGTGAATGAAAATTTAAAATTATTTTAATCTTATTTTAATAGATTAATATCGTACTCTTATTGTAATTTAATAGTATGCGAGTTTCTATTTATAAACTTTATTAAATTAATTTAATTTACATAATATATTTTTTTTTTAGAAATCTTATTGAAGAATTTCCCAGTTGTTCACTTATGTAAAGGACGATTTGATGTTTTTATAATTTAAATCACATAATTTTCTATTAAAGCTGAAGAAATTGAATGGTATAGGCACAAAATTTAAATTAATAATGAACCTCATTTATTTAAACCAGATTTTTACTAACTTTTGTAAACATTTCAGCGTCAAACACCGCCATATGGACTCTGAAATTATTGATAGAAGAGAATTTTATTGTAACTTTTATTCGAATATAGAATTTTGACAAAAAATGTTGGTATATTCAGATATTCCATCATCTTTTGACGAAATTATGAATTTATCCTAAATCTTAAGATTTCAAATTGGGTAAGTCAAAGTTATGTTTGTGTTTATGTCCATATTCGTGACTCTCAACTTTCAGAAAAATAAAAATAAAATGTTTGTTGCGAATCATACTACGAAATGTAGTATGATTCTCTAGGCAGCCATTATTTAAGACTTCAAATTGCTCTAAAGTTAAAAAGTTTAGAATTCTTAAGCTTTCCCCAAACACATCGTTTGAAACTGTTTGCCGCTTAAACTTACAAAACGAACTGTTCACTAAAAAGAAGGTGTCCCCTTAACATAAATTTTAAAATAAAAAATAAAAATTCGAATAAATTTTTTATCTTAATAGATAAAATCCTTGGATTTCTAGATATCATTTTAAAAATTTACATATATGTACATAAATATTGAATAATAATTATAATGATGAGAAAAAATTTTTTTTTTTCAATTTTATAGGCTTTTATTTCAAATTCAAAGATATATCATTACAAATTTATTATGAATATTATTTTTTAGTATGCCACTTTGCTGAAAATCAAAATCTTCAGGGACATTTAATGGAAAACTGAAATGTAAAATGTTTTAGAAAAAAAAAATACATTTACGGAAATAAATCATGAAATTTGATCTCACACTCAATACAGTCATAATACTAGGCGTATGTTTGTCATATCATATAACGTAAAATGGCATAAAGTGAGATAGAGTACCGAGAATTTTAAAATTTTATTACCTACTAGATATACTTTTTGATTTATTTCCAAATAATTTGACGTTCTATTTTGATAAAAAAAACATCAGAACGTTAATTCTGTTTAACACCGTTCTACTCAATTTTTTCGTTAAATGCATTAGATTTTCTCGAACTACGAAGCAGCTTAATTTTTGTAGAAGGGTGGATTCCTACCTAGTGAACGATGTTTTGTTCCTTTCATCGCCTATTCGTTCTTTCCTTTTTCTTTTATGATAAATATTTTGGCCTATAATACAGTGTGATTTGATTAAAATCGCTGAATTCACTAAACTTTCTAAGAATATAGTGTGATTTGGTTGGACTCACTGAGTTCTCTAAACCTTCTAAGATAGCTTTATATTATCGCGGAGGATATCAAATTTACAGTTAGCGGCTGAATTAGCCTGGTGAAAAGATGGACCTGTCCTCGTGCAAGCCTTCGGCACATCAAAGTAACTATTGATAAATTGTATGGGGTATGAATGAAGTATATCATTCATATAAGATAATATATCAAAATATTGTCCGCAGTTACTTCTCTTAAACCAAATATTTACCAATAAGGTTTTTTATTAAAGTTATAGCAACAATAGCCAGATTACATTTTATTTGTTGGAAGATTTTTTCCATTTTTCTCTTGAAATTTTTTTTAAATTATTGAAAATATTCTTTACACTACTTTATTTTCTGAAACCATTTCCTTCCCAGTAATGTAATATCATTATTTTTAGATATATTATTGTCAGTTCCTATTATAAGATATTTTTGAAAAGTATGAGGGGCAGTTTACCTGCGACAAATAAAATTTTTGTTTTCTTAACTTTGTTTAGTTTACATTTTCTACATTAATTTTCTGCTCTTTACATTATTTTAATCTTTATGTACGCTTTAAAAATGTGAAAAAAGAAAAATTTAATTTATACCATTATAAATTTACGTAGGTATCATATTTTACCTATATACAATATACTAATATATTTTTATATAAGTTTACAAAAATCTATTTCATAGTCTTCCCCACACTAGTGTCATCTTCCTTTTCCATTTCACTTCCCAAAAATATTATCATGTAAAATTGCCTATCGAATAGGATTCTCTATATTTTAAAATTAAAATAACATTTTCATGGCTATGTTTAAAGATTAGATGAAGGAAAAATTCAAAGAAGATAATAATAAAATAAAATATATTATAATATTATATATAAGTAAAATTTCGATTATAATCGGCTTGAGAGAATTATGAGGTAATGGAGCGCGTGGATGTCACAAATTATCTAAAGTAATGTTGACATTATTTTTTAACCTTCAAAATAACAAAAAAATAAAAAAAATATTTAGAATACCATTTTTCTAAAATACCGAAAATAGCAAAAATAAAAAATGAGTTCGAAAAAAATTTTACAATCTGCGAACATGACAGTTTATTGATAAAATAATAAAAATGAAAGGGAAAATATTTAAATAAAATTTAAATTCAAAGTAACGATGAAAATATAAGGAAATTCGAAGTGATTAACTTGTCATATACACTAAGATGACAACACCTGTTCCTTGTGTTGTAAGAATTAACAAATGGAAAAATATTTATACCTAAGTCACCACTCTATTATCGAATTTATTGTAATGGCATTATTTATTTTGAAATTTATTACAATTGTTACCATTCCTCTAAAGGAAAGCACACAGGTCACAGGTTTTCAGTAGGAGATATAAGATTCCGGGCATGGCTCCTCCGAAACTTGGCGGAATCGGCCTATCTTCCAGCAGGGAGGCTAGATTCCTGGAGCTTGTTCTGGATTAAACGCTGAACTGGAGACTTAACATCATGGAGAGGGTAAAGAAAGCAACTATTACGCTTTACTCGTGCAAAAGGGCCATCGGGAAGAGGTGGGGCCTGAAACCAAACATGGTTTATTGGCTGTACACCGCGGTGGTGAGACCGGTTCTGATGTACGGAGTTCTGGTGTGGTGGCCGGCGCTCCGTGCTTCCTTAAACTTGAGGTTAATCAACAGGGCTCAGATGATGGCAATGTTGTATGTTGGTGGAGCTGCACGCTCCACCCCTACACAGGCTCTTGAGATTCTCTTGCATCTGCTGCCATTTGATATACTGGGCAGGCAGATGGCTGCGGAGTCTGCATTGCGCCTTGGGGCCGCATCACTGTGGTCGTGTTGCCCCACAGGTCACGCTTCGATTTTTGCGGACTGGGGGCACGGGGTGGGGTCAATTGATTTGGTTCCTCCCACGCTCTCATTCGTGAGGAATTTCGGAGCATAGGTGGGTGGGGGTGTTTATTCCGAGCAATTGAGAGTTGAGCTCTCCTTCCGCCTGCCGGACCACTGCAGTGTTTTTCAGGCAGAGGTGGTCGCAATTGGGGAGGTTCTGCGCTGGCTTGGTGAGCATGTGGTGTCCGTGGGCAGTGTTAGGGGCGCTGGAGTCAGAGACCTCTACGTCCAGAACGGTCCTAGATTGTAGGTCGTCTCTTGACGAGATGGCGAGGCAGTTCGAGTTAAACTTGGTTTGAGTTCCCGGACACAGTGGGATCTCAGGGAATTGCAAGGCGGATGAGCTTGCGAGACATGTAACGACCCTCGGAATTCTACCTGAAAAGGAGAACCTGGGCACGCCTCTAAGCACTCACAAGCTGCTGCTACTTAGTGCAGCGGTTGAACGTACCAATCTCAGATGAGCGAATGGAACTACGTGTAACGCGGCAAGGAAGTTGTGGCCAAAGCTAGACTTGCGTCGCACGAGGGATCTAATATTTCTCCGACGAGAGGATATTGGCGTGGTGATAGGGGTTTTAACTGGACACTGTCTGATTGGCGATCATGCCAGGAGTATGGGCCAATGATCTCTGTAGGAGCTGCTGTGACGAGGAGGAGGAGGAAACGGTGACCCACCTGCTATGCTCGTGTCCGACGTTGGCGAACTCCAGGCGGAGGTTTCTTGGGTCCCACTTTTTTGAGCCGGCCACGGACATAGCGAATGTAAAT